GTACGGGCATTGCTCACACGCCATTGGAATGGATGCCACATGCGCGCTATCAGTATGGGCGCCATGTGCGCCATCTGTACGGGCGCCGTTTGAGCGCTGTCCGTAGGGGTGCCGCGTGTGCGCAACCGGGTGGTTTGCCCCACCCCTCAGCACCCCACACCGAGTGCCAGAGAGACTTCCTCCAACACTGTTCCCCTTAAAGACATCCTTGCTTGGCCCACCATCATAACACCCATAGTCCCTCCCTGGTCCAAGCATAATCTGGACTCCATCATAGCTCCTTCTTATTCTAAAGAGAAAACATCAGCTTTGCAAAGGGAAGAGTTATAGCTCAGTAGTAGAGCACCTGATTTGCATGCCAAAGGTTCCAGATTCAATCCCTGGTGTCTTCAGGCAGACTCCTGCCTAGAGAGCTGCTGTCAGTGAGTGCAAAAAATAGAGAACTAGATGGACTAATGTTCTGGCCCAATGTAAAATAGCTTCCTATGAAAAAAGGCAATATTTATTTTAAAGAATAAATCAGCAAAAATCAAAGAAACAACAACATCTACTTCAAACAGTTTTTATATGGAAAACAATTTCAACTTCAGCACCATTTGCTACAAGAAGATCTAGTGAAATTGGCAGCCATGTTTTTAGTTCTCCACCAACCCCATTAGGCTTTAGGTTAGTGTAAGTAACAGGGAGAAATAGGAACACAGAAGTTTCTGAACTCAGTAAATATGTCCTATTCAGCCATACCTTTTAGCTGCTACAGATTGTATGAAAGTCTTGAACAATTGGTGAGAAATGTATGCCTGGGCTGGGTATTATTGTATATAACACTTTCAAAGGAATTATTAGTATCATATTTTTTTTGCAGTGGACCAGCAATTTTTAGCTCCATGTCCAAAACATACTACCACGTGGGGCGTAAATGATTACAGATACATTCTGGAGCCTGGAGCCTTCCTTTTTTCATTATGAAATTCACATTTCTGCTCCTGCTCCTTGCTTTCTGAAAACCACTTAACGTGAATCTGAAGACTTGTGCATGTCCTACTTCATCCACTTAGGTAGCTTTAAAAAAAAAAAAGGCTAAAAGAGCAAAAAGTTACTGGCAAAATGCCAAAGGGGAGAATAAAGCCAAAAAGATGGACATTTTAAAGGTGAGCTCACTAGATTAATGATAGCAGGAAAAATTGTCATAGTTTAGCTAGCAGTAATGCCAGTATTGCAGGAAAGACTTCAGAAACATTTCTGTAATGGATACAGCTATTAATAAACTGAGGAGGCTATTTAATGTATTGATAATAAATTGTCTCCCTCCACCCAACCCCTTCTTAAATGGGATGCTACCTAATCTCGACAGGCAGGTCAAGACCACAAAACAAACATCATTTAGATGTGAAAGCTAAAATATATGTTGCCCAGAATGCTGCCATAGAAAACATTAAGGCATTATGGTTGTTTTCTTCTGAAAATCAAGACCAAGTCTATTATCCTAATTACTGATGAAACCCCAAAAGCATGTACAAGTCTAGTGCAAGGATCAACTGAACGAGTTCCCTTTCCATCATAGCATACATAACCCAATTGTTGCAATTGATAATGTTATACAGCAAAAATAATAATAATAATAATAATAATAATAAAATAATAATATATTAGGCCACTAAGCCTGATGGAGAAGGAAGCAGGATTTAGAACACATCCGGCATTTCTGAGTTCTTGGACTGTCCCAAGGTATTTCAGGGACTTCAAAGCAAACCTGTTGGAAACAGGTTAATTAACAGTGTTTCCCAACCGGTGTTCCGCGGCACACTAGTGTGCCGCGAGACGTTGCCTGGTGTGCCGCGAGATGTTGCCTGGAGGGAGGCGGGCGAGTCGGGCGGCGAGAGGCGGGGCGGCGGCGGCGAGGAGAGGCCGCCCAGCGCGGGGCTCTCGCCGTCTGCCTGCCTGGCTGCCTGCGTGGCGCTGACGTCACGGGGCTGTAACGTGCCCCACATAGGCACATGCGGGGCGGCGAGCGAGCGAGCTCCCACATCCCATCGCCGCTCGCTTCGGCCGGCCTACTGGGCTGTCGCAGGCGGAAGGCCTGCGCATGCGTGAGGTTTTCACGCCTTCGGGATTCCCTTCACGCCTTCCTCCTCCCGGGTCCTTGAGAGCGCGGGAAGCGGCAGCGCGAGACCGGTGTTGAGCCTGGTAGGTATTGCGCTTGCCAAGGCAGTCATTTGGGAAATGAAAACTTGCAAAGCAAGCAACCAGTTCAATCTGAAGTACGTGTATGCTTAATATCCTGTATCTGAAACCTGTTCTGCCCCCTCCCCCACACTTGGTGCCATTTTCATCTACACATGCAGCAGAGTAAGTTGACCCAGAATAGTACCAATTCAGATGGCAGATGGGAGAATGACAGTGCTGAATGCTTTCCCATGTAGAACAGTCCCTGCAAATAAAAACCTAGCATATTTGGAAGAGGGATGCTAGCCTAACCATTACCTTCTATGCTGTTACTATTTTTTTTTTTTTTTTACATAAGTAAAAAGTGACCTTTCCCCATCTGGCATGGTGGTGTGCCTCGAGATTTTTTTCATGAAACAAGTGTGCCTTTGCCCAAAAAAGGTTGGGAAACACTGAATTAGAAACATCCTCACCCTGAAATTAAAGGAGATTGCACCAGACAAGAGCCGTTAAATCTCTGAATTACCCTAGCTGCATAGGTGTTGTTGTCTACTCGACAACAGCAGTGATAACAAATGCATACCAGGAAAATGTAACACTTGACCTACATTCAGAAAACAATTTTAAATAGCTGACTGTCTGATAATCATCTTGCTCCTGATTTGAAAAATCAGTAATATTAACTGGGTTTGAAACATCAATTAGAATGGAATATATTAGTTAATCATCAGCTATTAGCCAGGCTGCCTGCATGATGCAACCACATACTAAGGTATTCTTGATCTAAAATTCTGATTGGCAGAAACTCGCAGCTTATTTTCAGTCATCCAGGACAGAGGCAAAATACTTAGGGGAAAGACCTTAGCTCAATGAGCGGAGCACATGATTTGCATGTAAAAGGCCCCAGCTTCTCCAGTCAGAGCTGGGAAAGTCTTTGACTCCATATTCACCCTGCATTTAAAGCACCTCCCCAAAGAAGCTTGGGAACTGTAGTCTGATAAGTGTGCTAGGTATTGTAGCGCAATGAAGGGTAGATTACCATTCCCTGTATCCTTTGAGGGGAGGAACGAAATGTGCTTTAAATAGGCTTTACTATTGTAGTGCACATTTTACCTAATGAAACATATTTTTGTCTCCAATTTTGCCCAATGTACAGTGGTACCTCGGGTTAAATACTTAATTCGTTCTGGAGGTCTGTTCTTAACCTGAAACTGTTCTTAACCTGAAGCACCACTTTAGCTAATGGGGCCTCCTGCTGCTGCTGCACCACAGGAGCACGATTTCTGTTCTTATCCTGAAGCAAAGTTCTTAAGCTGAGGTACTATTTCTGGGTTAACAAAGTATGTAACCTGAAGCATATGTAACCTGAAGCGTATGTAACCTGAGGTACCACTGTGCACATTTTTACACAATATTTAGTTGCATGACTGCATTGCAAAATTCAGAGAAGTGTGAATTTTGTAGGATAGCTTCCCTTTGGTTTATGCAATGTTTCAAGAACTAACTTTGCACGGAGCGTTTACAGTAGACTTTGGTTTTCATGAATTAACTCTGGAAAAGTTTTCACAGCAAAGTTATTACTAGCTAAGCGGAGGTGAGGGGGGAGTTTATGAATGGCTTTGATTCAGGTGGGGTCAAAGGATAAAGGGGCAGACGGACAGAAATATAAACATATCAAAACTGACTAGCCAATCATAGGTGTAGGAGAAGATAATCTCATATAACTTTGTACAGTGGTACCTCAGGTTAAGTAGTTAATTCATTCCAGAGGTCCATACTTAACCTGAAACTGTTCTTAACCTGAAGCACCACTAATGGGCCCGCTAATGGGGCCTCCTGCTGCCGCCGCGCCGCCAGAGCACAATTTCTGTTCTCATCCTGAAGCAATATTTCTGGGTTAACGGAGTCTGTAACCTGAAGCGTATGTAACCCTGAAGCGTATGTAACCCGAGGTACCACTGTATGTGCCCCCCCCCCATTCTGAAGTTCTAAGTTGGTATGATCTGGGGCAAAGCTACCTCACAGTATTTACAAACAACTCAGCAGAGTGAAAAAGTTCACATCTATAATTGATGGAAAGTTCATGAGCATGTAACATATCAAAGGCAACCCCCGGAGCTGACTCAAAAGCACAAACTGAAAATTGAACCAGGGCTGTTCGTTTACTTCTGTGTTTCAGGGCTGAGTCCAGTGATGATGACAATTTTTTCCCAGAGCTCTAATTAGTAAAAAACCAAGGCTTTCGAACCCCCATCTTTTGCTGCTCTTTGTCACCCTCTTCTTCATTATTCAGATTTGAAGAAGGAAGGTTGCTGCTACATTGTCACATGGCTTAATTTATTTTCTGAAATTATTGATTATATTTTCCTGTCAACGTTCAGCTGATTTCAGTAAATATTAGGCACCATATTTTTTTTTTAAAGTTGCAAACAAGCCCAGGTTCTTAGAAGTGAAGCCCTAGCAGCAAGAAAGGCATTGGTGCAACACCAATGTACGTGTGCCACAGAATGTGCATGCAAAACTCCTTGGGTGCACAAGTCAAACTTGATACCGAAGAAAATGGCTCCATGTGCACACACAGCCCCAGAAGATTCTAGGTCATGGGAACCCATTGGGTCAACTCCAGTTTGCATATATACATGTTTGTTTAAATTATTTATAACCTGCTCTTCATTATTCACACAATCCCAGAGTGAGGAATACCACTAATATACAATAAAACAATATTTCATTAAAATACTATTTAATCTAAAATCAGACAATAAACCAACAACAGAACTACATCAGCCAAGACAAATGCTTGGAAGAATGGACACATTTCCCCCCTGGTGTCAAAATTCAATTTGTTGATATTGATTGCACCTGAGAATGGAGGACATGCCAGAGTCGGGTGCCACTCTTGAGAATACCCTATCATGAGTCATCGCATTTCCCATCTCAGAGAATTGTGACATTGTGAAAAGGGCTTGATGGAGTCTTGTATGCTTCCTTCCAGCAACTGGTGCCAAACATATTGCTCTGCTTTCCTTTGGCCCACATCAATGAGCTCTTGTCATCTGGGCAGGCCAGGACCTCCATATACAGTTCCTGGGCTTGCGCCCTGAGGATGTCACTCCAGTGCTGCTAATGCAGAAATAACAATGCAGAAGGCAGCAGTTATGAGTTACCGGTCTCTGCAGCCACAGCAGGCACTGTGATTTCCCAGTGGTTTGACTTCACCCCTGGAGGTGCACTCCATTGTCTTGAGAAAGACAGTTGCCAACATCTCTGGAACTTTCTTGATCTTCATTCTTTCCCCAGTTTAACAAGCCATGCTGCCCCTTAAATAAGTATTACTTTATTAAGGTCATTTATTGCCTTGTATAAAAGAAGCAATGTATTATTTCATCTTGCGTGCAGCTGGAAAATGGGTATTGATATGGAACAAAACAAAGATCATCTCTCAGAGGGTCTCTGGTAGGAAGATCTAAGGCAAAAAAAGCCCATTTAGATGCATAGTAATCTGCATTACAGAACAGAGCTTTGCAAGCAAAAACTTCAGTCAATATTTTAAATTAACCAAATATACAGTAAACAGGGTTAAAGGCAGCAAGCAATTACATTAAAAGCAGGCATAAAAAAGCAGCTGTCACTTTTATTCATCAGCCTGTTTGCCCAGAATCCAAAAGCTAACTGTTTGTGTGAACAAGACCTACTTTGTGATATAAAACATTAGTTCTTGTCATACATTCTTCTGATTATTGATAGTTGTGCTTGGGTGGCATTGATCCGAGTGGATTTCTTGCTGAACACAACATCAAAGCTTTAACACCAGACAGACTTACACTCTATTTTCAGCCAATCTCATTCTTGCGTACAGGCAGTTCAAAGGTATTTCTTCCTCCCCCTCCAATACGATTGATTAAGAAGGGCATCTGAAATAAGGCCATCACTGCCGGGACAGCACGAAGAGCTTCTATGTAGTGCTTTGTAATACAACAGCTCCCTTATGGAGCTGCAAACACTCCACACCGCCCCGTTTCAGTGACGTCTTTAGGACGATTCTGGGTCACTTTCAGGTTTGGCGCGATGTGCTTATACACGGTCGTGCACATATTGAACGTGCATAAACGGGATGGGATGGGTGGGCTGCCTGTATACTGAATTAAGTGATCTGCTATAGAATATTAGCAGATATATTATTGGGATTCCTTGTTACTGCAGACATATGACTGCCATGTTTTTACTGGAATCTGTGGGACTGAAGGAGATGGACCAAGCCACTATTTAGGCATTAATGAGCTTCTGCTTCTGCTAAGATCACAAGGGAGTTTTGCAGGTTTTGATCCTGTGCTGCCATCTCACTTCATTGTCAAAATGCAATATGTATCTATTAAAGCGCAAAGCAAGTATACAATTACAATAAGCTCATAGTGTGGACTTACCCCACTTCCATCACAAGGATGCTGTTGTAGCTCATTCAAATAGGTTGTTCTACACATGATCAACAAAAAACATACCTGTAGGACAGTCTTTCCACCTATGACTTCAAGTAGTCTTACGATAAGCTCAGGGACATCGTTAGCTAAAAATGCACATACATTAAAAATGCATAAGTGAGGGAGAACAGTTTTACATGGAAGATTACAATGCCTGCACAATCACTTCTTTGTCAAAGAATACTCACAATAAGCACATCTTAAACCCTGGCAAATTAAATTTCTCAGAGATATTGGTTGGCCAACTCACTACAAACAAAAATAATATCACATGCATATTACTTAAATGATATTTTTATAATGGCATTTAGAATTTTAAACCATTAATGGCTTGATATTTGTGGCTGTTATTTTAAAAGTTTTATGGATGTATGGAGTGGATGTGGCTTCAAGTAAATATTTAGGTACATTGGTCAAACTGAATATTTAACATTTATGTATACTATCTGTGCAGTTTAGGATTAGACGATTAGACGATTCATGCTTGTTTGCTACTTTGGTTATTGGATATGTAGATGTGATGATTTAAAAAATAAAAAATAAAAACTCAAATGTTGTGATGCTGTGCAAATTCTTTGCTTGCCTAGCAATGTTGGGTGTGATTTTTCAGCCTTCCTTATAACTATTTCTTTTCCCTCAAGTATCCAGTGTATGTCTGTGCTTGTGTGTTCACCTACACTTACAATGCCTGCATTACAGACAACCACAATTGTGTACATCAGCCGGTGTGGTTTTGTGGTTAGAGTATTAGAGTGTTAGACCAGGATTCAAATCCCCACTCAACTATGAAGCTCACTGGGTGTCTTTGTACCAGCCACTGCCTCACAGCTTAATCTACTTTGCAGGGTTGTTGTGCAGATGAAATGAGGAGGGGGGAAACCATGTACACCACCTTGAGCTCCTTGGAGAAAAAAGTATGATGTAAATGCCGTCAACCAACCAACCAACCAACCAACCAATCAGATAAGTAAGCTCTTGAATACCAAAGATGCTGCAGCAAACCAGCCTTTAAGATGCCAAAGCATTCTTGTATTCTTTCATCCACATTCAATTCTCTTGAGTGTGTACTTTGAGGCTCTTGGGCTGTAATCATGTGCATACCTATCCTAGATTTAGGCTGCCATCTTATGCACACACCTGGTAGTCAGGGAACGAGTCCCACTGTGTATAGTGGAGATTACTTCTGAGTAAACCCGCCGAGGACTGTAAGTCTTGTAGAACTTGATGGGATTTAACTGCCAGATTCATGTGTATACGACTGGACTGTTGGACTCCCCTTTGCTGGCAGGAAATTAAAAGGCCAGGGAAGGGAGTAGGGTGGAAATCAAATTATTCTTTATAATACAGGGCTAGGCTTGTCTAGCCTTCTGCAGTTCATATATGCCTCTTGGCATAATCAAATAGTAAAGGTTATGTTACTCTTCTGCTTGGAATCAGCCTGTCAGAGAAGCCCTAACATCACTCATTAGAAGGGACAGTGCATGACCTAGTGCTAAGGTTAATGCTAATAATATGTTCTACTGGAGCCATGACTATAGTCTCTCATTACTATCTTTGGCTGATTTTTATTTTTATTTTTTTTGTCTTTGTCAACATAGGCATTCTAATTGCTAAACAGATTCAGCACACTGAGCTACAGTTCCTGAAACACATACCATCTGCAGCAGCATGCCACGGGTGTGATCCATCTGGAAATGTTCTTGTGGTCCCGTCGAACGTTTTCATTCATTATGCCCAGAGATGTGCCTTTAAGCATCTCTCAAGATAGCTGTTAGTGTGAGAGAGAAAATGGAAAGAAGACGCTTTTCACTGAATGGATGTACATTTAGGTCAATGTAATAAACAGTAATGATAAGCAAGCAGTGCAATCCTATGCATGTTTACCCAGAAAACTAATTGCCAAATAAGTTGGCAGCCATAGCCTAAGCAAGGGTAAAGGTAAAGGGACCCCTGACCATTAGGTCCAGTCATGACCGACTCTGGGGTTGCGGCGCTCATATCGCTTTATTGGCTGAGGGAGCCGGCATACAGCTTCCAGGTCATGTGGCCAGCATGACTAAGCCGCTTCTGGCGAACCAGAGCAGCACACGGAAACGCCGTTTACCTTCCCACCGGAGCGGTACCTATTTATCTACTTGCACTTTGACGTGCTTTCAAACTGCTAGGTTGGCAGGAGCAGGGACCGAGCAACGGGAGCTCACCCTGTCGCGGGGATTCGAACCGCTGACCTTCTGATCGGCAAGTCCTAGGCTCTGTAGTTTAACTCACAGCACCACCCACATCCCAAGCCAAGGGTAGCCAAGTCAAATATTGTTGGACTCCATCTCCTATTATTCCTACCCAACATGGTTATGGTCGGTATGGGGGAGTTGGAGTTTGGTGGTATCTAGAGGGCCCCTAAGCGGACTACTCTGAGAAATCTATGAAAACACCTGATAATTTCTTTCTTTCTTTTGCCTCTTTGATTCCATTCCAAAATCTGGGGCAGTTATTGTACTGCAGAAGTAGCCATCAGAATAACTTGGTAGAAATAAATCACTATGGAAAGGAGGCTATATAAAACCAAAGTAGTGCTATGGGGGTTGGGGGGCGGGTTAGGTTGTATGCTGAGACCCTTCCGATCCCTGGATCTAGCAAGTGTTAAAATCTAATCAAGGCTTCTAATTCTTGGAATAGACAGGCTTGATAGCTTGGGTGAGGGGAAATTAAGGGCTCTCTAGGAAATGGCAAATTGGTGAAGCCCCCTCTTTTTAACTCCATTTAGTTAGAAGGACAAAGCCAGAGTTGAGAGCAGAGAGTTGCAATGATGTCAGCAAGGAGAAAAGCAGCAAGCTGGAGAATCAGAACAATGTTTGATTTCTGTTTGAATCCAAGGCTGTGGCGATGGGAGAAGCAGAACCCTTTTGGGGTGTTAATGCTGTGACCTCCTCCGTTGTAGGCTTAGGTTGTACATATGTGTAAATAAACCATATAAGGACACCACAGCCTCCACAGGAAACACAAGCCTTGGGTAAGCGCCTGGAATCTCACACTGCTTGGAGATAGGGGTGGTGTGTAGCAGCATAAATGTTCTATGCAACTATAAAGCTTATTGAACAGCACAGCAATACCTAATTTAGAAGCATTATTAGCAGTAAAAATATAACCAGCCACTTAAAATTAAACCAGGGCTCTTCTTTCCAAACAAAGCAAGATCTTGCCCCTGCGAAGAAAGTGATTATCAGCAGACTCTTATGCATGTTTACTCAGAAGTACGTCGTACCATATTCACTGGGTTATCCTTTTTAGTGTTTAGGATTGCATCCTAATAATGCATTCCTAAGCAAGATTACTCTGAATGTAAGACCCACTGAGCTCAATGGAACTCACTGCATAGAAACCAGGTTTAGGATAGCACTGCTTATATGGAATATATATTTGACAACCAAGGGTTACACACAGTGCTGGATTTACGTGTAAGCTAAACAGGCTATAGTTTAGGGTCCCACTCTCTTGGGGGCCCCAAAAAAGTTTAAAGGGGGGAAAAACTTGATGTATATTTACAAAATATGAGATAAAAAACAAATAAAATAAAACCTACATGCAGCAACAGTGGCAAATGGCTTTAGATACCTATTAGGTCCATAAATTAAAGGTAAAGGTACCCCTGCCTGTACGGGCCAGTCTTGACAGACTCTAGGGTTGTGCGCCCATCTCACTCTATAGGCCAGGGGCCAGCGCTTGTCCGGAGACACTTCCGGGTCACATGGCCAGCGTGACATCGCTGCTCTGGCGAGCCAGAGCCGCACACGGAACGCCGTTTACCTTCCCGCTAGTAAGCGGTCCCTATTTATCTACTTGCACCCGGGGGTGCTTTCGAACTGCTAGGTTGGCAGGCGCTGGGACCGAGCAACAGGAGCGCTCCCCGCCGCAGGGATTCGAACCGCCGACCTTTCGATCGGCAAGCCCTAGGCACTGAGGCTTTTACTCACAGCGCCACCCGCGTCCCTAGGTCCATAAATTACCATATAGCATATATTTAACACAAAAAACAGTGACAATTTGTTGTTGACAAAGGACAGCTGGACATATAAAGGGCCCCATTACCTTCAGCAGCTTAGGGCCTCATCAAACCTAAATCTGGCCCTAGTTAGAGAGAGTAATAACTAATAATGAGACACCTATAAATCTTTCCATAAGGGAGGTGCCAGAGGAACATTGCACAATTACTCATTGTTACCTTTTGGGAACGCTCTTTGGAGAACAAATGGAGTTGCTGGCATGTAAATGCCTCTCAGGTCCCACCACTGTGTCCCTAACACCTCTTGATGTCATATGTACCCAAGGCCAGAGAAAGATCTAATAGGGTCAATGTAGTATAAGTTTGCCTGTCAGTCTCTAGAGAAAGATTGTCAAGCAAGGCCACAAGCGCAGTTTTGGGATCATACAATGAATGAAATCCATACTGACATGGAAGTCCATAAAGCTGGCAGCAATGCACCCAAGTGACCCACAGGCTGTCAACTGACCCATTCATTCATTAACTTTTTCCAAGGAGAGAAGGTTGGGGAGGGGCTGAAAGATCACAGAATCTAAACAGTTTTGCATATTGCAGAAACCTTTAAGAGCACTTGGGTAAATGTTACTTGGTGCATCACAGCCCACAGAACATTGCAGAGCAGGCATTTTCTCCCGTTGACTCAGCCAAGAAATATTTTCAAAAGTGCATATCCAGTGTGCATACAAATGCATATACAGTGGTACCTCGGGTTAAGAACTTAATTTGTTCCGGAGGTCCGTTCTTAACCTGAAACTGTTCTTAACCTAAGGTACCACTTTAGCTAATAGGGCCTCCCACTGCTGCAGTGATGCCGCACAATTTCTGTTGTCATCCTGAAGCAAAGTTCTTAACCCGAGGTACTATTTCTGGGTTAGTGGAGTCTGTAACCTGAAGCGTCTGTAACCTGAGGTACCACTGTATTGGAGATAATAACGTACAAAAATGCATTATGTTACGGAAAGAATGCTTTGCAAAAGTTTTAGAAGAACTGTGCGCTGAGATGCTGGTGGATTTCAATGAGGTCTTCTTCAAAAGTTGCAGATTGATGTGGAAATTAGGAAGGACTTAAGACCAGAAGAAAATGAGAAACAAGAAGAAACAGAACTTGATGGATTTGCCTATTCCAAGTCAGGAGGATGGCTCTGCAACACAGCACTATTGCACCAGCCATTCCTGTTTTCTGACCAACCAATCAGACTACATAGAAGGCCATATCCAGGATGTTCAAAAGAATAATAAAAAGAGGGTCAACATCCAATAAGCGATTCATTTTAACATTCTCTTGAGGACATTCGTTACCACGTCTTGCCCTTATACGCTCCCAAAGTAAGTTCTGTCTAGAGACTATGCTTGGTTTTACCTTATTTTGGTTAATGCATGCCCAAGGAAGGTCTGTTCCCTTCTCTTAACCTGAGCATGTGCCTTCCACCTGAATAAGCAGAATCTCATCCCTTATTTTATCAATTATTTGCAACCTTTTCCCAGTTGAAAAAAGGTCATTGATGTAGTGGGCAGGTTTCACTTGCTTTGGCGACTGGAGTGAGAAGGAGAAACAAACAAACAGATGAAAAGTCCCATCCGATCGCCGCCCCCACTTTCTACCTTGTTAGAAGTGACATCACTGTACATTAAAGACCTCATATCTCCGTTCATATTAAAATGCCTGTCACTTCTCTTGCTCCAGGGCTGTAAATCTGCCACAGTGGCCTGTGCTTGGGGAGCTTTCATTATGGAAATAGGAAGATAAGGACTCCACTCCCATGTTACAAGGGGAAAGATACACAGCTGCAAAGAGGTTGCTTTAAAATTATATGTTTGCATTTTCTTAACTCTTCTATTATCTGTTAGGGCAATTTTTCAGGAGATATCTCTAAATGTAGAAAACTCTCTCTCTGTGTGTGTGTGGTTTTTGTTTTTTTTTAAAAAAAAACTTTGTTTAAGAGCCAGAGGAATAAAGCATGAATATACAGGGCAGTAAAATGTATTAGTGCATACATTTTTAACTTGCTCATGCAGTAAATCATTAGCCTTTCCCATTGACTTTAGGCCGCCAGCCTCAAAAGAAATGACATACAATAATTTAAGCTGTTTCCCCCACTCTCTTTTCATATTTAAATCACACGTCAGACCAAACCAAACCAAAAAACCTGTGTGGCCTCTAGGAAATGGCTGTAACAATATTCAACCATTATACATGCTATAAAGGAATCTGATAGCAAAATTCCTTCTGAGCAGTAATAAAAATATAAATAATGTATCAGTTTCTGTCTCATGGCATTGTCAGCCTTCTAGTAAAGCTCACCTGCTTTTGTGCTTTCAATAAACTGATTGGGAATGACTTTACAAAAGCAAAATGAAACATAAAAGATTCAAAGCCCTGCCTGAGCTGTTGACTCACCTTTTAGCAATTCAGTTACGTCAGCCTCAGTTCCTGAACTCTAAAATGGGAATAAAAGCGACTGACTTTAATAATAATAATAATAATAATAATAATAATAATAATAATACCCTGCCCCCTTCTGGCTGAGTTTCCCCAACCACTCTGGGCGGCTTACCAGCAATCTCTCTCTCTCTCTCTCTCTCTCTCTATATATATATATATAAAATAAGATGTCAGCTAAAAACTTCCCTGAACAGGGCTGCCTTCAAATGTTTTCTAAAAGTTGTGTAATTCCTTTTTTCCCTGACATCTGATGGGAGGGCATGACTTTCTAAGGTTCGTATGGAAAAAATACTGAAACCCATCTGTACTTAGATTTTTTTAATTTTTTTGTTTGTTTTAAGGACAATACATAATCCTAGGTAATAATTAAGGACATGATTCAATCCAATTACTGTAATCACTTTTTGTTACACTGACTTTAATGCAATAAGTTCAAGCCTATTGAATTTAATGTAATTTAAAGTGTCTAATTGTACAGTCCTTACTCTCCAGCATTGTAATGTGTGTTAAGGGCACACACTTACATATCTTTTCAGTAATTAACCTGCACCAACAAAAAGTATGGGTGGAGGGTTCCACGTCTGCATCATTCTCCCACAGCCTCCAGTCCTCAGATGCTATTGAACTACAACTCCCATAATCCCCAGCTAAGGATGGAAGAGAAATTTATTCAGTCTTCATTTTAAAGTCAATTGACCTCATTTGCTGACCCTGGACCTATATGCAGATCGGAATAAAGCTGTCAATCAGATTATGCTCTTTGACTTTCATGATGCACTTTCAGTTCAAGAAATGCACCCAAAAATGCATATTTTATGAGGAATGTTTTATAGATATTTATTTGCAAGTGTACTTCTAAACTGCCTATTCATTGTAAAAAAAGAAAAGAAAGCATGGTGGTGTGCAACAAAATCATTAAAACGTCATAAAATTATCGAACTGTAATGTGCAGAACAAATGACCAGCTCTGAATCAAATTAATTCTTTAGAAATGCTTGGCGAAACAGAAACATTTTCAGCAGGCAGAAAAACATCAGAATCTGGGGAAGGGCATAGCTCAGTGGTAGAGCATTTTCCCTGTATGCAGGAAGTCCCAAATTTCATCTTCAACATCTAGGACTGAGAGAGACTCCTGCTTAAAACCCTGGAGAGTCACTGCCAATCAGTGTAGACAATACTGAGCTAGATGGACCAATGGCATAACTCAGTATAAGACAGTTTCATATGTTCCTAGAATTCTGGGTGCCTGCCTAATTTCAGTGGCAACAGTGTTCCAAAGTACGGGTGCCACACTGCTCTAAAAGCCATAGTTTGTGTAGAAACTAATTGAATATGTGGCAACCATGGAACAGTACAAATATTGGGGGGGGGGATGCATTGACCAAACTCTGTATTTTGGGCAAGAATATGTATAAACTGTTGAACACCTCAAGCTGCTTAGGGAGGAAGGGCGGGATAAATAAATAAATAAATACATGTACAGTTTTAAATGTAATTTTTTCATCCATCTTTTCATTTGTTTAGTTTAGTCTGCCAAATAATTTAAAAAAAACAAAAACATGGAGGGATGAAACAGACCTGTAACTTAAATGAACACAGGAAAGAGATAGGAAGAGTCCTCTATCCTTATCCTCAGCCAGTATTGGCCAATGGTGAGGGCTGCTGGGGGTCAGTTTACTTGTGTTAAGTGGTTTAGAGTCTTTTCTACGAATAAAGTGACTTACTTGCTTGACTGATTGTAATATTGATAGCCCACCCTTCACCAGCAAGCTATCCTAAGGGACAACAATAACTATACATGGTAAATACACCATAAAACCAATCCATCAAAAGCTTTAGCATCCAAGCAATAGCTAAGGACTAGGGCTTTTTTCTCACCTGGAACTCACTGGAATTCAGTGATGCCACCTCTCTGGTGGGTGCCATTGCCATTATAAGAGAACAAGGGAGGTGTCCATGGTGAGTTCCGGCACCTCTTTTTCTAGAAAAATAACACTGTCCCTTCAGATATTGCTGGGGAATCATTGGACTCCCAAGTCCCATTTCAACAATCTAACCACTATATCACAATGGCTTGCTTGTTGCACACAAGTTTGAGCATTACATGCATACCAGCCTTTTGTTCAAAGAGCTCTTGGTAGCATATTACACTCCCAGACTCCCCAATATTATCTTCACAACTTCCTTGTAAATAACGTTAGGCTGAGAGAAAGCGACTGACCCAAGATTGCCCAGTTGACGTCACAGTTGAGCAGCAGTGTATAAGGTTCTGGGGGTCTTGAGCTGGAGATTCTTGCAACAGGACCAAGTCACTATACTCCCTGCACTACAGGGGAGATTCCTGTCAACCTGACCTCTGCTGCTCTGCAGCCCTAGCAAGTCAAAACGTTGCCAGCCCGCCATTGTCTCTTTCTGACTTTGCCTGGCTCCACTCTTCCTCTGACATAGGTGTTTGAGCTTTGATTTGCTGGGTTCAAGGTCAACATCAAATCACTATACTACACAGGCTCAGGTTGTAAAACAGGCCTCCCTTGTATTGTTGAAGAACTTAAAAGAACAATAACAACCTTCATGGGTGTAGCCGAGATTTTTGTTGGGGGAGGCAGGACTTGATTAGGGGAACAGGACTTGTGTTGGTGGGGGCAAAACGGACGAGGTTGGTTAGTTAGTTAAGTATTTATATTGTTTTACTTGATCTAGGGGCGCACCTGTCCCCCCTTGGCTACGCCCATGACAGCCCTAGTCTTTCAAAATCAGTTAGCAAACTTTTAGTTGTCCTGATCCAGAGTCCAGTGAGTCCTGCATAGAGGATCTGCATAGAAAGATTTAAGTATGCATTTCAGAACATGGAGCAACCAAGCCCTGATACGGGAACCCATGGAAAGATCCATGCATTCATTGGATTTCTTGTCACCAGAAAATAGCTGTGTTTAGCCATTTTTAATTTTTATTTTAGAGTATATTTCTTGCCCTCATCCCAAGAGCACATTTGCCTCATTTTACCCTCCAGACCAACTTCTGAAGTGAATTAGACTAAGAATCTGTGATTTTCACTAGGACACACCATAATATTCATGTCTGGATAGTAATTTTGTCCAAGAGATTTTGAGCATGATATTACCACATTTGCTTTGAATATTGTAGTAATTGTAGACAAAACTAGCTACATTAAAGAGCAATATAAGCAACAGTAAACATTGCATTTTTCATAAGCCAAGTCTAAACTAAAGCAAAGAATGAAAATAAACATTTTCAACAAAAGGGGGGAAATGGTATCTACAATGAACTTTTGTTTCAAAAACCTGATTTGTTGCTAGGGTTAACTCTTCTACATGACAAAATCAATTCTACTTTGATGAAATTAAAAGCAGAAGGGAAAACAATGTGCAGTTTACAAGACAGTCTAAGCTGATGTTTGTGCAGAGAATCAATGCTTTTTGGGTAAAGGCTAATTTAATAATATATTAGATTCAGTAATTGGAAACATGGATGGAGAATAACCATTTCTGGTTATAGGCTGCTTGTTTGACAACGATACAGCTTTAATTCAAGACCTTGAAATTGACACACCCTGAAATTGATCCATATAGTTAAAAATTTATAATAAAACTGGAAAATTGTCCAGTGATTTAATCACTTTCCCCCCAAAAAGGCTAACATGAAATACAGCTTCTCTATATTAGATATGGGCTTGAAACCACACAATTGCCACGATTTGGCAAGAGTGATGCAAAAGCAGAAACCAATTTTCATTCCTGACTAGACTATCCCCTGCTAGAAATATCAAAGAAGGATGAGTAAGAACTGTGTATCCAGCACTTTCACATGGCACATCTGTATTGAAGAGACACTGCCAAACAAATAATAAGAACGGACATCTCTGGCTGCACTAATAATCTGTGGTGGGATCAGAGAAACAAGACTGGAGACTGGACTGAGTCCTTTTCTTGTTTCCCCATTCCCCATATATGTGCTTACAGCTTCAAACAACCTTGTCCCATCCTTCCTCATTGGTGATCCTTGGGTGCGATCCTTTGCCAACATCTCAGGACTGGGACCAGTGTCTTCAACTCCAGCGCACACTGTAAAAGAGTCAATATGAGTTGGGTGTGTGAATACTCACACACTATTAGACAACCCAAATGGTGTGGCAAACAGCAGCATATCATGCTAGCTGTGGAGTCTTTGAAGTGCTGGAAGAGGGGTAGCCAACGTAATGTCTTCTAAATGTTGTTGGACTACAACTCTCACTGTTCCTGAACATTGGACATGTTGGCTGGGGTTGATGGGATTTGTAGTCCAACAGCATCTGGAAGGCATCACACTGCCCCCCCCCCGTTTTACATACATCCCCGTTTTACATACATCCTGATATCACATTGTGGCCACAGTTGGTCTGTTTCAGAACTTGCCAAAGCCCATGCCTGGCTCTATAAAGTTCATGCCTGCCACCCACTTGTTCAGTTTCTTAAGACCTTGCTTGCTTTCAGCAATACTTTTCTAGTCATGGCCAATAATTGTGATTCGTAAGATCAGCTAGTGCTGCTGAAAGTTGCAGGAATTGCTGACAACATTCTAGGACACTAGCCTAAAAGCTCCTCAATAGATTGATAGGTTAGGACAGTGTTTCCCAACCGGTGTTCCGCGGCACACTAGTGTGCCACGAGACGTTGCCTGGTGTGCCGTGGGAGGGAGGCGGGCGAGTCGGGCGGCGAGAGGCGGGGCGGCGGCGGCGAGGATCCGCGTCGAGCCGGGGGCGGCTCCGCGGTGGTGGTGCCGAGGTTTCTCTCTCCATTCTCCCCTCACACACACACACAGGAAATAACACAGGATCAGCTGACAGGACCCGGCCAATGGGGCGGCGGCGGGGCAGTGCGCGCAAAAGGGAGGAGCGCGAGACAGCGGACGAGGAGGAGGCCGGCATGTCCGGGCAGCAGCAGCAACAACAGCAGCAGCAACTCCCGGCGACGGCTCCTCAAGCCCCGGGCAACCCTACTCCCTCACCGGCCTCGGCCGCCCTCCTGCTCCACCCGCCGCCGCCTCCCCCACCGCCGCCGGCCACCTCGGCCCCGCCGCCGCCCCTCCTCCGCCCGCTATCGTCGCCGCCTCAGCTGGGCCCATGCCTGCCGGGAGCGGCGGCAGCAGCAGCAGCAGCCGCGCCCCGGCGCCCTTCCCTCACGGCGGCGACCCGGCCCTGAACGAGCAGGAGAAGGAGCTCAAGCGGCGCCTCAAGCGGCTCTACCCGGCCGTGGACGAGCAGGAGGAGGAGTTGGAGGAGTCCCTCAGTCCCTCGCTTTGCTGCCTCCTCCCCCCCACCCCCAAAGCTTGGAGGCAGTGGCGTAGCGTGGGGGGTGCGAGGGGTGCCGGCCGCACCGGGCGCAACATCTGGGGGGGCGCGAGTCCAGAGGGAAGGGACAAGTTCCTTCCTCCGCCGGGCTCCCCGCCGCCGCCGCCAGCCTTGCGCCCTAGCGCGTGCGCGCCCCCCGCCGCCGCTGCGGCTGCGCTCCACTCACTGCTCGCAGGAGGAGCAGCCGCTGCAGCAGCGCCGACGCTGTGTGTATAAGCAGAAGCAGGGATGGTTTGTGCTGCTGGAGTGGCTTCTCCT